TTAATTTTCACTTGTGGTTTTCTATGCTCCCCTGCCCAGAAAGCATTGACCTCTGGGACGGGAGTTAACAGTTGAGCCATGTAATACTTTGTCAGGAACATGAAGTTTTACGGTAGTTAAAGGAAAGCAGGCAAGAGACACAAAAGGTTTCCCTCGGGTGGGCTGGGTTGTTTTCGGTTCGGGTAGCAGAGGGTGGAAAAGCACGGCGGGGGATGGCCCCCCGGGCACGCCACCGACCCTAGACGGGGCTCCTGGACAGGGCGCTACATGTCCCCGCAGTGTCTGTTTAAAGTTTGCTCTACAGTCACAAATAATTTTGTTTAAATACACCCTAGAGATGAAAAAAAAAAAAACCCTCACAAAAAAGCTGGGTGGTTTTTTTTTTTTTATTACAAAACTCATGAAAATTCTTCAGCATAACTGGGGGATACCTAACTATAAATACCTAACTATTTAGTGATCATAATAAAAAGATTGATTATAATAAAATGAGATGCTGAATAACTTGCTGTCCTGCGGAGGACTGTAACAACAAAAATGCCCCAGGCCACACTCGCCGTGGGATGGAGGATGCTGCCGGCCAAACGGGAGCCAGATTTTATCCCACCAAACCCCAGCCCCGGCACGGAGGTGCGGCATCTGTATTTCCCAGGTTCGGCAGTGACACCAGAGCGAGGAGACAAAGCAAATAAGATTTAACCAGCAAAGCAATCTTTTTAGCTCTGTTATTAATGTGATAGGCTCTTACTTCTCCTCCCCATTTAAAAAGTGGCCATAGGACTAACCGAGATCCCTGGCCCTGGTTTCAATTACGTGGAGATTGAATCAAAACAGACTGCTGTGCCGTAAATACGAGGGGGGCCCTCTCTGTAAATCGTAAAATTGAATTCTAAAATTTCATGTTAAGAGCCTTGTCTTTGCATAATGGATTGCACTGCCATCTATCACAGTGACACTTACAAGTCACAGCTGAAAAAGTACTTTATTAGAATTTTTTTTTAAACAATTTTGATTTATTCTGGTTATGCTGCCTGTATAATAGACTGAGTAGAATCTCACGCCGATCCCTACACTCAATAAAGCATCTACAGATATATTACAGAAATCCCTCACTGTTTCTAAGTTACAGCCAAATTGTGTCTCAGGGACTGCTCCCAATCATCTGTGTCTTTTAAACCCAAATCAAGCACTGGGGCTCTTAACGACCTTTGTCTCATCGGCTCTCGCCTGGCGTTGTTTAGAGCTGTTGGCCCATTTTCATCGTGGCTCTGATCAATAGCTGTGATGACAAAGATATGATGAGCTGCGTGATTCCCTCCGGTCACCGCTGCTTAATGATTTTTCCAAGTTCCAATCTTCAGTTGAAAGGGAAAAAAATAAAATAAAATAAAGAGCTCAGAGGAAACAAACATTGCAGCATTTCTCGCGATGCCAAATTAGTCTTGCTCCTCTCCCCTCCGGCTGAGCATGCAGGATGTTCCTCAGCTGCAGAGCCCTCATGGCACTGACTCATGTCTGGATGCCACAGCTAGTTGGTCCCATCACTGTTGTTCCTTCAAACGGAGAATGTTTTGGTACCAGCAACTGAGGGCTTGAGCTGTTGGTCCTTACCCATCGCTCACACTGGGAGCTGTAGCCCCTGCTCCAGACTGTTGGACTTTTTCCTCCAAGCTGTGAGCCTTGACCACGATCCTTCCCATCACCCTTTGGACTGGAGACAAGCCCAGAAGTTCAAAGTAATTTAAGCTATGCCTTTGCATTTTGAAGGGAAACTCCTTGAGGTGGAGGAGCGAGTCCTCTTTTTGGGAGTGAAGACAATACTGACTTCTCAAAGTCAAGCCATAAAAGCACATGAGGCTACAGTGACATTTTCCCTTGGAGACGGTCTGGCACACAGCTGACCTTTGAAAGACCACCTAGAGCAATGGGACATCAAGGGTAGTGCCATGGGATTTGCACCCAGGACCTCCCAGTCTTACAGAAGCAAGGATCTGCTACCCCGCTGCCCACAAACGAAGCAAGAAGGGTCAGGCAGCCACGGCCGGGCCCCATGGGGACGCAAATGGGGCAACGCAAAGGCTGGCTATGGGGCCATCAGTCGAGTGGACGTGCTTGTGGATAGCAGAGTGCAGTTCCTTGAGGAGGGCACAGCTCTTCGTGTTCACAGCCCCTTCCTGCAACTTCCACGGGAACGCACCTAAAATCCTGTTGAAAAAGCATTTTTCACTAACGAAGGGAAAAATGTAGGGCTTCAGGACTGAAAATGTTTGTTTCTAGTTTTGCCATCTAGGTAAAGTGGAAAGGGTGAAGATTTCACAGAGGCCGAGGATTCAGGAACACAGTAGCTGTCTTTGGACAGGTTTGTCCTCCACACTAGACAGCCATCCCTTTTCATTTTTTTTGGTTAAAGGCTTTGATAAAGAGAAGAGCAACACACACATATATATACTATTACATATATATTTTTTTTCCCTTTTTTGACTTAATGTCCATAGTTCCCACGCCAGGTGCAGGTCCAGGAGAAGACCCCTAAGGACCCAGCAGGCAGACAGGCACAGTCACATCCCACCGCTGCTTGAGGATGCTGAGAAATGCAACACGAGCTGCCTTTGCCATGGCGCAGAGAGGGATGGCTCCCAGGTCTAGGCATGCTGTACATGTGCGGCAGGACCGTAAGACTCTTGAAAAATGGGTGAACTCCTCAAAGTCATTAGCTCGTGTAATAACCTGAAGAGTCTGTGTAAGGCTGTCGAGGTGCCATCTCAGGCTGGCAGGGTTCCAGTAGGAATATTTCACACTCAAATTCCTTTCCTTGGCTGCGTGGAAAGGTGGCCCATTTGCTCTTGCACTACTCCTCTTAGCATTGTAACACATGGACAAGGATGGATTTAGAAGCATCGCTTCTCCTCGAAGCTGCTTGGACGGGAGCAGTGTAAATGGGATGCACATCGAGCCCTCTCTGCACTGCAAATCTTCACCGGGGATTTATGCTTTTCGACCCAGCTTCCCATAGGTCTTTTTTGCATGCTGTTTTAGACACTCAAAGCCATGAAAGACATCAAAGCCATCAAAGGTTGAGGTTCTGGGAGGGATTTGTCCCTGGTGTGACTCAGGGAGGGGGAAGCGTGGAGCTGGGTAGCCCTGGGAAGAGGGTGCTGCCTCCTTCGAGTAGGTGGCAACTGCTGGTTTGGCTAACACTGCCCCTAATCCCCACCAGCACATCCTCAGGGCAACCGAGGCTTGCCAAGAGTTTGATACCAGGAACACAGGCGGTAATGCCATGGCCTTTTAACCATCCCTGGCAGGCAGCAGCTGCTCCCTTGCCAAAGCCTAGAGCTGGCCCCGGCCAACGCATCTCCTCCCAGCCGGCGCTGACGGAGCCCGATACCCTTTCTAGCCCAGCTGCCTGCGATTCGCTCCTGCCAAAGTAATAGAGGTTGTGAGCTGCAAGGGGTGGTTCAGAGTGCAGCACCGGGACACAGCACCAGCATCGTCACCCTTCCTGCAAGTAGGAGGGACCACCAGAAAATCAGGACTCTGCCGGTGAGCCGCCCCAATGTGGGTCAGGCCCGGGGTTCTGCAGTTGCCAGAACTCCGGCCACGCAGCCAACGGTATCAGGGATTGGGGATTGGAGGAGGAACAGTCTGTTGGGGGAATTTCCGTCCCATCACCTTCCTCCTGGCAAGCACCCGGGAACAGACAGGCAAGGCAGACGGAGCTGGCAGCTGGCATCTACGGGGAAACCGTGATAGCACTGGGGCTGCCAACGTTTTGCTGCTCGAGGAGTGCGTGCCCAACATACACCCCTGCTTTATCTTGGGGGCTGGAGCCTGCAGAGGAGTATCGGGCTGTGTTGGAGGATGTCAGTGGTGGTGGCACGAGTGCAGGACTGGCTCTGGGAACACAGGTACATTGTAGGGCTCCAAGTAAGGAAATAGCCTTGGCATGGATTTGCACATCTCGGGTTATCTCTCTGCAGAACCAGGAAGCAAAAATCAAAGTGGATGGAAAAAAAAAGAAAAAGGAAATCAGGACTGAGATGTTCTCAGAGAGACATGGTGAGAGCTCTTAGAGTCAGGACACGTGCAGGTGTCAGCGTGATAGAGACGTCTGTTTGGGACCAAGGTTGGCCATCTCCAGCCGGAGCTCCAGCTGGGGTAACATCTCTGCCTGCAGGAATGGCCCTGGCTACCACAGGGCTGTTTCAGGCAGGGAAGAGGATGCTAAGCTCATCTCCTTGGTCCGTTGATTTTCAAGGACTCTTGCAAATACCAGAGCACAGAGGTTATGTGAATACAGATTACATTAGCATGCCGAGTAACTTTGTCAGCAGTTTCTTATTAAAACACTCGGTCCCCTCTGTAGTGGGCATTTCCATACAACCTCCCCCTTCTTCACCGCTAACAGTCAACTGGGCTCTCTGTTTAATTCGAGCTCGTGTAAGAAACAGTGAGAGGGTTGATTCCAATATTCCCCTTCTTGTCCCACAACGCACAAGCTGTTGCTACTTATTAAACATTTTAAAATCCCTGCTGCCAAAGTCCCCGGGAGACATTTATCTGCCATAGTCATAAACGACTTGCCAGCATGCTACTCAAAACTGCATTTCCCAGCCAATAAATACAAGCTCCAGAATCAGGAAAAGCAGGGTTTGGCTTGCTCTAATTTTCAGTGGTATGTCACTGGGATACTATAACTACTTTTAAATTCAAATCAGCTTCCTAATAATTAACTGGTTTTATCAGATACAGCACAGTGGACTGTTAAACACGTAGCCTCGTGTACTGAAACACTATACATTTAATGAAGTTATGCCATTAGCAAATGTACAACATGGGTGCATTAAGTCCACCTATAGAACAGCTCTACATATGAGAGAGAGGATTTATTTTAGCTTTTCTCAATAGAGCAGGAGTCCCTTTCTTGGCTTTTGCTAGGTTTTTTAAACTAAAACCAGGATTTGCGCACACACAAAAAAACCCCAAAAAGTATCTACTCTCATAATGAAAAAAAGACTGGTTTTTTTTTCTTTTTTTATTCCAGTTCAGGAAGGAAGAGAATCATCTTGCAAGTTAATATAATCAGCTCCTTTGCCTCTATAATCTACTTCTGCTCAGCAGGAGCCCCCAAAAAAACCACTTTATGTCCCAAGTGAAACATGAAAACTACTTGTAAGGTCTCTTTTGAGGCACATGATTCGGACGGTCGCTTTCGGAGTATCGGAATCAGCGTCGTCTTCCATCTCCTTTCTTCCCGGGAAGAGCTCTCCGGCACGCCACAGACTCCCCATTTCGGGTGGAAGGCTATCTGTCCCTGCCCCAAATCAGAAAGGGTTAGGATGACACAAGTTAGCACAGACACCCATTTCGCATTTCACACCTAATGATGACGTACGTTGACGACTCCCCACTTCAAATTCCTCACAAAGGGGGGTGGGGGTGGGGGGGGAAGAGGACAAGAGACAGTAAATTTCACTGTGATCACACTACGGCAAAATATACCTTCTGTTCATTGCAAAAAACGCGTGAAGGCCAAATTAAAGAGGGGAAAAAAAAAAGTATGTTGCATGAGTTACAGTGCAACCGTATTATTCCTTCTCTTTCTATTTTCCTCCCCCCCTCCTTGTTCAGTTTAGAAAAAAGGATTGAGTACAACACAGTCAGGTAAGTGGCCACAAAAGAGTAGCTGTCTTTGGCAAGAAGTCACCGCATCGACCCTCTCTGTCACCTTCTGCCCATTTCGCTCTGTCTCATGAAGTGGATGTTGTTGGCGCTGTCTGAGAGTTCGGGGTACTGCTCCACTGAGATCACAAAATAGCCGTCGTAGCCCTGTACCCGGCCCGTGTTTAGCACTTGTTGCTTCTCCCCTTCTGTCCATGAGCGAATACCCTCCTCCCCATCCCGCAGTCTCTGCTGTTCCCGGGACCAAGCTTGGGCGACAGCTCGCTGTCGGGCCAGCTCCAGGACACGGGCCTTCTCCTCGTCCAAGGTGGTCCCGTAGCGAGTGTTTAGACACAGCGCACCATACTGGAGCTGGATGTCCGTGTAACGTCTAGTCCTTCCACTTAGCACTGTGTTGATCTGGGACACCGTCACGTTCACGCCGTTCTCCAGGGTCCTCCGTCCTCCGCTGAGGCCCAAGATGGACAGGTCACCCTCCGACGGCCCTTGCTTAATGAAATAGTGCGTGTCCACCCCATCAATGGTGAAATGCAAGTTCTCCAGGTAATGGGCATTGTTCAGGATGGCCGCGATCCTCCGTCCATCCTCGTTGGCCACACTGATAATGTCGGTGGCCACACGCCCGTCCTTCATGGCGAACTTGACGCCTTTGCCGAAGATAGAGCCTCCCGAAGCAAAATTCTTGTTCTTCTTGACCTGCCGGCACCCGGCGATGCTGGAGCTGTAGATCCGTTCAAAGCGCTCAAGGGTGACAAAGGCCTTCAGCTGCTTCTGTACTTCACACTGGACCCCCAGAATTGACTGAGCAGGGAGAGAAAGAAGAGAAAGATGTGTTAGAAAGAGAAGCCTGATGAGCCAAAGGCATTCACGTTCAAAAAACATGTAGACATGGCACTTCAGGACATGGTTTAGTAGACGTGGTGGTGTTGGGTTGACAGTTGGACTTGATGATCTCAGAGGTCCTTTCCAACCTTAAAGATTCTATGATTCTATGATTCTATTATTATTAGCATGCTGGAGACCAGCAGAACATCCCGGAAACATCTAATGAGGAGCTCTTTTTTTTCCCCCTTATCAGCTTTTTTCAGATTTTTAATTCTTTTTAATGGAAGAGATGTGTTGTCAGGTTATTCCCCCTAATGCTCATTGTTTCAATAAACTGAACTGTATTTAATCTCACAGACTGAAGGATGTAGAGGTAGAAAAGGATTTTTTGCCTCAGCAGTGTGAGGGTCTAGTTTGGACATGCAATTGTTTCGTGCTTCAGTGTTCTTCATCTGCACATAACAAATCATTCATCTTGTGGCCATGATGTTTTATAAAATGTTTTCAGATGTTCTGTGAAAAAGCGTGGAAGTATTTGTAAAAGTTCCCTCTATTTTAACTTCACTTTGTAACTCCTTGTGCTACCTTCAAAAGCCCTGCATCACAGGTATGACCCTCAAAGTGGCCATAACCCCTCTATATCCCGTATCAACCTGGCCAAAGCAGGTTGTTCAAAACTCAAGGAAGGCCCTAAATCCTGCTCCTATTTCCTGCAAACTCTCTACAATGTGCCAGGCTCCCTGAGCTAAGGCCACCCACACCTGATGCTCAAGTTTTGGCTTATACTGAAGCAAAACTGCTGAGAGACAACAACGCGGATCATTTACAATCAGGTACAATACAAAGTCACTTTTGCTGTTAGCATATAATGGAGCAAGCACGCAGCGAGTCAGCAGCTCATCATTACTGCAAAATGTCTTTGGAAATGCTCTCATCAATTCATGGCAGCACAGGCTTCTTACAGACCCCTGTTCACGAACAATTATTTGCTCAAATTTCACAAAAGCAAGAGGATGCTATGACAAAACTCTCCTGGCACTGCCAACGGCTGCATTCAATAATGTAATAACATCCAGGATTAAAAATAGGCTACAAAGAAGTTTGCTGCACTCCAATTATTTCGAGGAAATTTAACATCCATGAAGGATATTGCCTTAAACTGTCCACAAGTTAAAGGCTCACATCCTTCCTTGGGTGGGAGAAGACAATTCAGATGATGCAGGCATTTCAGGGTGGACCTCTCAACTCTGACATGTAACATAGCAAGGGAAAGAAAAGAAATGCTCATTTTCATGGTGGCCATTTCCAGGGAAGGGTCTCAAAGCATGAAAGGAATAAAATAAAGGATTTAGCATTGCAACTCACTCAGAGGTTATGAGCAGTTTTGATCTATAAAGGAGAAAACTAGAAGGGAACAGAAGTATGCAAGTTAAAGAGAATGTTTTGGGTTGCAAAGCATTAAAATACCCAGGACTGACTCTTATCAAAGTGCCAAGCAGGCTGGTGTTTCTCCTCCTTTTCCCCTTTTGATGAACAGCATAGTAGTTGGAGCAGGAACCAGTCACCTATGAAAGAGGAGCTCTCCCCATACTGCCTGTGGTTCTCCCCATACTGTCTGTGGGGGATCTTGCACACAGCCTGGAGAGTGATATAATTAACAGATCGATAGGGAGCCAAACCCAGCTCCCCTGCAAACTGCACAAGTGCTCTAATTATGCAAAAGATGGACGTAATTAATGTAAATGTCACTGATGATGGACATGGAGCAATTAGGTTTCTAGGCTCCATGAAACACTTACTGTTCTAAATAAGTGTATACTGCACAGCCTTGGTTAGCTATTTCCTCTTCAAAGAGGTTTAAATGGGGAGGTGTTCTTCTCAGGTACATCTCATATGGATTGACTCTAAGTGGTCCCACTACCCAATGCCACATTGCTCTCCCAACTCGCCTCAGTAACTTTTGCAAGTGATGGGAAAAGGCATTTCTCATTACTCACGCTGAATCACCGTTTGGTCTGAGCTCCTTCCCTCAAGGATGTAAATCAGGTCTTCTGCACTATATTGCTATGAGCTGTGGTCATTTATATATCACCATCTATATATACATCACCGTGTTTACCAGCAGTTGAGTGATAAGGAGTCCCTGGAATTACTCACACCATCTACTGATTATCACCTTGGGGAAGGGAGCCCTGGCAGGTCAGACAGCACTGGGCATGGGAGAATTATTCCTATCAGAAATATCCCCCACTCCCCTTCTATTTTGTCTTCATGACCTTATTCTTGATGAGCTGCAGGAACTGTAGCGCCTTTTCTATTCTAAGCAAATTATTAGGTATAGATCCCCTGTGAGTGCCTCCAAATTAGGTTGCGCCAACAAACCAGTGGATTTGGGCACCACTTCCTTGTCTTTTCTTCTGATTCCAAATGAAAAGTGTGTTTGCAATGAGCTCTGAAAACCTGCTGATGCTGCGAGGTAGACACTGATGTGACAATCTACTGTGCTTTGGACAAGCAGGACATATGGTTCATAACCATATGTTTATACTGTTAAATATAAAATAGTATAATTTCGTTCAATTTTAAAAGTAAATACTGCTAAAGAGAATGAGACATTGTATTGCATGTCTTATGATTCACACCGGATATTTTTTATTTTAACTCCTGGTTTGATTTTGGACTTGCTCCTCCAACTGCTTTCTCCAAGACATGTTTCCTAACTCTCCAGGTCATTTCTACCCAGCCTCAGGGCCAGGAATTGGTCTTGGACTTCTTTTACTTAGCGGTAGAGACATACTCTAAAATGGGGTCAGGGACCCTTGGGAGGACAACAGTTGTACAACAAAGTTGAAGGGTGGATGGTGTCCTTGGGTTTGTCATTAATTTGGGAAGGATTGTAGCCTGGTTGGCACATGCTGTGATACAACAGGTATCACATTCAACAGCTGGGCCATGATCTACCTTCCTCAAGCTCCATAGCTTGTCTGGGGACATTCTGGCCTGAGGTAATTTTCAATTTTCCATGTTATGGTCAAATTCTCCATAGCTTTGAATTTCAGATGAGTACCTGCCCATTATAAAAGGAAACCCTGATTTATTTTTTTTTTTTTTACAATTTATGACCCAATAATAGAATACCAGATCTTTCCTTGATCTAGTTACATACTGCCATTGTGATATTATATGAAGTCATACAATTTCCACAGCTCCATTGTTCATCTGGATGCCATTCAGAAAGAAAATAAGCAGCACCCACCCCACTACTGGCAGGACTTGGAGGTTTAAAGGATTACACATGATCTAACAGCAATGGCACTGTCACTTCCTGCCTAAGGACACCCACATAGGATACCAGGCCAACTGGCTTGTTGGTGTCCTCTTGGTTGCCATTCAGGACATCTCCTCCTCTACACTGGGAAAGCATGTTTTGTGTTGCATGTGCAACTGTAGGACTATTACTGGCACTACTCCTGGTGGTTAAACCAGAGGTTAAATGGCTGACCAAAGACACATGACTGGGAGTGTCTTGACCTCCAGTCATGTGCCCGCTTAGAGGTGGGAAGTTTGTGAAGTTGAGGGCTGGAACCACCTTCATTGACAAAACCCCCTGTCAATCTGTGGCTGTCCCAGCCTTCTGTGCAGCCACTTCTCATGCATACTGTAGTCAGTGTTAACTTCAAGACTGTTTTGGTTGCCCGTACACTATTACATGGATGTCTAGTGTGATCTGAGACTCCCAAGGGTGCCTGCAGTATCTGCCCGGGACTGTGAGAAACAGAAGCATCTCTGGGAAATCTTTGCCCTTCTGGAGTAGCACCTGGAGGCCACTGTGGCAATTGAGGTCCCTTGATTGACAAATGAATTGAGACCCTACTTTGCACAGTCAGTGGAGCCCAGAGTGTGCTTCATCTTGGTCTAAAGTTAATGCATAGCGGGTGGTCAGCTCTTTAAGTGAGCTCCACTGCCTGTACGAACCAGATGTTGACAGACTACAGTGGGTGCACACACCTAGCACACACGGAAACATCTACATCTACATGTCTTACTCTTGAATTCAATCCTAGCCCCTAGCAGCTGGTTATCTGAACTGTCCTTAGGGCTCCACTGATGAATCATTCACATGGGTAATGTCAAACATAATTTTTAGCACTACAGGGAGCCCTGCTGGGCCACCAAGTGCTGTTCCAGAAGAGTGTAGGTAATCCATGCTGCAGGCATGAGGAAGTCCAGGAAACTCTAGAGTATCTCAAATGGCACCAGCAACCGAGTTCATTTTAGATCTCTACTGGCTATAGTGGAAGCTTGAATACCAAGTTCACAGGCAGAGACCTAGATTTAGGTGTCTGAATCAAGAACAAAATCACATCCAAAGGGTTTTCCACTGGGGACTGGTTACAGGGCTCTCCCCATCTTTTGTCACATAGGGAAGTAGGAGATCAGACACATGCAATGCTGTAATGCTGAACATCGTTATCACTTAACCATTATAATAATAACTAAACCCATCTTTGTTATCTTGAAAATGAGCCCTGGATGACTTTGAAATGACTTTTTGAGTGCATTTCTTTGATAAAAGAGTGTATTTGGGAACAGCACTTTTTAAAAAGAAAAGCAAATGCATCCAACAAGAAAAAACTCAACAAATTCAGGCAAACCAGAGTACACTAGCTTGTATGCTCTGCTCTGAATATAAAGGGGGTGGAGGCAAACAGATTATATGTAGTTCAAAGAGGCGGTGTATCCCTGACTTTGAAATTACCATTTCTGTTTCATCTTAGAACTCATTTTAATCAACTGGCAAGGAAGAGAAACAGAAAATTTCCATCCAAGGCTGCAGTGGCATGTGGTATTCTCTAAAAAATGCTACAACAGTAAACCAGGGTATCTACAAAACCAATTGTATGGCAGAAAGAAGGGAATTCATAGTTATTTTATTTCAATATTTGTTGCTAGATGTGAGTGACAAATATGCTGGGTTTGTTTTTCCTCACAGTCTTTTTTAATCAGATGTCCTTAGGTGACATTTCACTTTATCTAGTAACAACCCATTGGAGAGAAGAGAACGACCTTCATCATTTGTTCGCTGCTGCACAGAGCTCAAGAGAACGGTACATTACACAGATCTCTGAATAGCCTCTTGCATTTTGCCGGCACCTCTTGAGGATTCAAAATACCATAGCCAGATACTATCATCTGTTGTTTTTAAATACCGCCTTCCAGTGTGAGACTGAAAGCTTTAATTTCCCATCAAGGATCCAAGATGTGAAATACGTGAACATGTTTCCAAGTTTTTCTATATCCTTGTGCCATTATACACAGCTAGGTGTTTCTCTCACCACCATATGGCTTACAACACAGAAAGCCACTTCTTCCAAAAGGCTTGGAAGTTATGATTTCTCTGAAATATTCATTAATTCCTTCCTATTTACCCCCCTAGCTCTCTGTTAACAAAACCATTCTTCAGAAGTGAGTCTTTTCCCTCCATTCCATCTGGCCATCACCTGAAGATGAGCCCCCATTCGGATGTCCCCCACCAACTCCCAGATGGTGGAGGAGCAGGAGGAGCCCATCAACCACAACAGCCTATTAGGTCCCTACCCATCAGCACAGCTGCACCGCACGCTGGCTGGCTGAGAGGCAATGTCCCTGCTCGGCAACGTGTCAACCACGAATGCAAGTGGCACAACGGAGGTGAGCGATTGGCCAGCAAGGCCAGTGTTGTAGATGCTGATTGGTTAGCAATGAGCAAAACACAAGTGGTAACTCTTGGGCATAGAGGACAGGTCTCCTCCACTCTGCCAGTGTACACAGCTGCAGGGGGATAACGAGGTTGAGCTCATCAAGCAGATTTCCATCTGTGGGGAAATAAGAGGATTTGCCTCCTTCTCTTGCTCATCTGTTTTCATAAAGCTTCAGGAGATTAACGTCTTTGAGACTTCAACTCCTTTCCTCGCATCAGATCCAGTGAAAACTGGCCACTACTTTTGCAAAACATAACTAGGGGCTGATGGACAGACGTGAAGACAGCATGATGGCCCAAGCCCAGGACAAAGCACCCGCAACGTGAGGATGCCCTCCCTGAATGATGAACACTGGCAGAGCCGATCCCTCAAACAGATTGTCCTTGGGAGAAGCTCTGCCAGAAAGCACAGCCCTACAGCTCACTCCCTGGCTGAGCACCCCTTGCCTCCAAAACGCTGCCTCATAAGGGATGCCAAAAGCTGCTCCTCCAGCACAGCAGAAACGGGCACTGCAGAAAACAGGACCTTTCCTGGAGGCACCGTGCTCGTGGGATGGAGAGAAGGGTAGTTAATAACATGATGCAGTTAATGATATAAGCACCGACTCCAAAACACCCTTCCCTGCAAATAGAGTTGTTCTGGCTCCAGCAATTACCTGACAGTTCAACAAGACAAAAGGGAAGGAAAAAAAAAAAAATTAAAAAAAGAAGAGAAATTGGATTCAGGTGCAGCAAGCTCCACAATATGCCAGAGGTCACCCAGAGTCCCCTGGTGGCCAATAACACTGAACTTGTTCAACAAACAATTTAGTGACAGCCTCACAGTCGCAGGGAGGAAGAGGGGGAGAAAGTGCTGCACAACGGAGTATTGGATTGTAAATGTCACTGCAGAGCTGCAGGGGGTTAGTGCAAGGTTTATGACATGATGGCTGTTTCTGAGCTGGTGGATGCTCAAAGTCAGAATTATCTCTCCCATCTTCCAGTGCTGCAAGGCAAGTACCAACAATGTTTTGGAAGGAGATGCTAGGGCCCTCTGGTTATGCACTCTGAAGAGATACAAAGCAGCCATTTATGTGGAGTTAGCTGCTTTGCTGTTGTGCTCCTGTTATTCATTCCTCTCTGATAAAAGAACTGACTCAATCTGCTGGGCCACAGCTTTGATCAGCAAAGCCAGTGGAGTAACTCAAATTTACTTTGGTCTAGCACAAGGAGGTGTGTGACCCAGAGAAACCAGGGATCGGAAAACATGGAGATGAGAAAGCTGTGGTACATCGTTCAGTGAATATCCCTGGATTGCAAGCAGGATAGGCATTGTCCAGTGCCTTGTCCAGGCTACTTTTAAATGACAAAAGATCTGGAGCTTCCTCCGTATGCTCTGGAAGACCATTTCACAGTTTGAGCAATCTTGCTATCTGAAAATATTTCCTGTACTTCCACTTAACTTTGTTTATTTTTGTCATTTGCTACATGAAACTTCCAAAAAGCTTCTATTTTCTTCCATGTGCTTTATCAAATACAGAGACAACCAGCAGGAAGGAGAGCTGGATTGTGTCTGGGAGCGTGTATGCGTGGCTGGACGGGTTCGGAGCGAACAGAACTACATGTGAAACATCAGTGTTGGATGCACGGATAGGCTTAGGAGAAAAAGGATCACGTGTTCAGGTATCATATGTGAATGAATTTATTTTATGCAAATCTATGCCTACAATATGCTGGATGTGACAGAAAGGAAGGGAATCCTGCTCTGTAGCATTTGAGAGCCACTCGCTATCACAGCGTGATCCTGCAACTGTAGACTAAAATACAAATGCTCATGTTTTGTTGCTGTCATAACACAGGGGAAGAATACGAAACAACCTGCGATGGTTAAATTCCTCTTTCAACACTTGAGTGTAAAGTGACTCATGTGGAAGCACGGTGGCTGCATAAACCCCCCTTTCACCAAGCAGATCCCTGCACAGTCCTCACTGCAGCTTCTTGCTTTAAAAACCTGAAGAGGACACGGAGATTTTTCTTCTTATCTTTTCTTCTTATTGCTCATTCAAGCAGATTCACCTAAAATGGGTGGATGGAAGGGAGGGCTCCTTGGTTTTACTTCCAGTTCAGCTGCCCGTATGAGCAAATGTCAGTCTTCATCTCAAGCTGTCACTCAAGTTACTTGGCTATTCAATAAGCCTAATAATAATGAACTAATGAAATAATAATAATAACACCACTAAAAATAATAACTTCTGTTGCGATTCTGAGACAGTTGTTATCTACTGCACAAAACAATTTAGAGACAATCTTTTGTGCGATCTCTGAATGAGCCTCCCCTGTTCGCCTTCTCCTGTATAGCTTTGCCTGGGGAGACTGTGTCACATCGGAGAGGAGGAAAAATCCTGAGGCTATTTCTCCATACAGAAATCATCTCTATTAGCATCTTATTGTTTAATCCAAGGAAGAGCGAAACAAAAAAGGAGTCTTTGAGCTCCAAAACACAACCGAGTAACTGTGGCGTAATGGTTTTCAAGCATCAACTCAGCCATGGTAGCAAAAGGCGTAGTTCTTTTGGTCCCTCTCTGTTATAGTGATATGTCTTAACGTAAATCTCTTGTCGAAGTTGAAGCTGGTACATTTTACCTTGTTTTCACCATAGCTATGAGGCTGTGTACGAAGGATGGGCTGACACATGACTGTTTTATTAATCCACAGTATCTTGTTCATACCTCTGAGTGATACCTTTTGTGGCTGGGGAAACGTGACACTGTATTGTACCTCCTGGTTTAATATGTGTACAGGACCTCAAGAGTCTGCTGCAGGACAGTGAGATTTCAGTGAATTTATAGATAAAGAGGCTAGGAGAGCAGCTGGGATCAATTCCACTTCCTGCTGTTATCATTTTATTAGCAGAAACGTTAAGAGCATATCCTGATTGCTAAACACATCGGTGCCTCGCCGCTCTCGCAATGCTCAAATACACAGCAATAGCAAGCAGAAATTCAGACTAAAGAGGATTCGGACTAAACAGATGAAAGCAACCTCAGAATAAAATCAGGCTAGGAGATGAAAGAGTATCCTGAGAGGTAAATGAGTTTTTCAAGGTCATACAACCGATAAGCAGTAGGGCTGGGAGTAACCCAGGGCTCTTGGATCCTGACCCAGTGTGCTAGCCTTTAACAGCGCTGCCTCCATCTTTCAGCTGAATAATTCCCCACAGGAAGAGAGGGGGAAATGATTGGGCTGTAAAAGCTTTTTTCTTGCCAATTTCATCATTGAATTTTGTGCTGGCATCTACCAAAATGGCTTGTGATGCAAGCCTGTTTTTAAAAGCAGGACACAGTGACTTGGGATTAAACCCAGCCAGGTAAAATGAAAGTTAACTCTCAGCTAAAACTTCTTTCTGGTGAGACCTGCTGCAGTGCAGAACAGTTTCCTAGGGAAGTACTGGGATTTGTTGTTTAAGACATTTTAAACCAGACTTAATAAGTTTCTAGAAAAAAAAATCTGTAAAAAATGATTCTGTATAAAGATTTACTTTTTTTCCACTTCCAAGAATCCTTGGTGCAAAGGCCTTGAACTTAGCCTGCAATATGTTGTAACATGGCCTCCTGAGGGAGAAAGAAACAGTAACACACCACTTCATCGAGCAACCACCAGAAAACATCAGAGGAAAAAGCACCATGGAAGTAAGGAACTTAAGATGTGATTATTCAGTCAGATTTCATTACTGTAATGGGGACTGGCTCACTCTTAATCTCCCAGAGTATCTGGGAAAACAGGCTGATCAAAGGGTTTTTAATAAAGACTGCAACTGGATCATATGCTGAGAAGGGTGTGAGATACAGTATGGAGTTTCATGGATCACCTTGCTATTGTCCCATTCTTGGGTTTTCATCTGTGTGTGGATTAGCTCATAGGACGGCTCCATTGCATCCATGTCTGGCTTGGGGTAGCCGGGGATGACGTTGTGTAGCTGGAACCCAAAAGTGAGCAGCCAACTGTTGACATCTGGAACGGAAGAAAAGCATAAATCAGATTTCTCAAGCAGGGTTGCTCAGGAGAACGGCACAGAGGAAGACCCTATGGTGCCTGGCACCGTAGCAGTCTGGCCAAAATTATGAGCGTCTACTTCATGTGAAGAGCGCAAATCTTAATGGTCCTTGAAAGAACCGTGTGCCAAAGCTGGGCTTTCCACCTCCAACCACAGTCCAGTTCTGCACTTTCCCAGCTCTGAAACAGAAGCTTTGGCAGTGACCAAATGGCTCAAACCAAAGCCAACTCAATGTCTGGCCTTTGTCAGCTGGCACCAGGTACTGCTCTCAGGTAACACAGGAGAAGCACAGGAAAAACAATACACTAATGGAGGCTGAGATGCTCCAGCTGAACAGGAGGTGTTGTCCAGTCCTACAGTCAGCTCTGAACACCTCAGCCACAGTACTTCTCTTCTTGAGGACTCTCAAAGGGCCTGCGGGCTGAGGACTAAATTTAGAGCTATGTGAGCCAGAATACCAGGATATCCAGGACGAACAGCACAGTTATTTGGCAGGTGCTCATGGAAGAGGCTCTGGACATATCCTCTGATTTTTCCATGGCATGTCCACCTCAGTCCTCAGTGTCTTGGCATTTTTCACAAGAAGGTGTAGCTTGAGTATTAAACCAGTGCAAAATCATACATCATCTATTGTCCTACGCAAAAGGGGGACCACTGGCACTTAAGGGGACATGATGGAAACCCCAGCCATTTGGGATATCATTCCTGCATTCACTTGACAGTACAGACTGGAAAGTCTTCCCTGATTTTGACTGCACAGCCATTAGGAATAACAGCTGAATGTTAATCTGCTGGAGGAAATAATGATGAGGCTGGCTAACTCCTAGATCTGCTTGGGATCAGCATCACTTTCCCCCTTAACTTCAGAGCATTTGATGTTCTCACCTTGTTTGCCTTCACTGAACTCTAAAGAAGGACACACCTGCTACAATCCTCAAGCAATATGGTGTGTACTTGGCACACAAGCAGCAATTGCAAGAAAAAGAAAGGTATGAAGGTAAAGTTTAACTAATATCAGCTCCCAGGGGTCTTAACTGTTTTGCACGTAACCGGGATTGTGTTGGTGATTGCTCTGCTTCAAGCCGGCCGTGCAAGGGGCTTGATTTTCATTTTGCTAAACTCAATAAACGTTGTTGAAGCAATCTGAAGAAGAGATCAATTTAAATAATCAAATATGCATCTTTGAATATTTTTTCTCTATTCCCCATGAGACTAAATGAGTGTTTTGAAGAGCTGGTTGGAAAAGAAATTATGGATGCAAGAGGCAAAGAAGGCACTTCCAGATGACTGGAGAGCCAGGAGCCAAACAAACACACTATCTGTTGCTTGTTTTCTTACAGGCCAAAATGTTGAGATTGGGCAGATGTCCAAAAAGCCCTTGCGACAATCCATGTGGAAGGGGGAGGATTTCTGTAATAAAAACACTTCTGTTCACTCAATGTACAGATTGTTTTTGGAGTGTCTTTGAAACAGAGAAGTTGGGGGGAGGGAAAGAAATTAAAAGGCTCATTTGATTATTTTTTCACTTAGTGCTAAGCCAGCCTGCTTCCAAATCCTTCTCATGTGAAATGAAGACCTTTGATGTACATATTGTGGTCCAGGTGGTCAGGAGAACAAAGTAAAACAGCGAAGGTCGGCATTGGTGCAGGAACCATTTTCCAAGCACTTCACAAATGTTAAAAAGGATACAGAGAAGGGATGCTGAACATCAGAAAAATATGTAACATGCCTGGAAAGATTCAAGACAGGCTTTTTTAGCTACTTCTCAGAAAACTGACTTTCAAAACATTTGCAAACAGGAGCTTGTTCTTTTTGGGAAGAGGTGTTGGAATACCCAGAACAAAAAAAAAAAAAAAGCCAAAACCAAAAAAACCCAACCCACAAAAAAACCATGGGAGGAAGGTGTGGAGCTGAGAAAACAGAGGGGAAAATATTAATTTGCCAAGAGGCAGTGACAACTTTTTTGACAGAAAAGTACATTTCACATCACACAGGTTTTTTTCAGCTACAGTAACCCTGCCAACACATTTCACAGTAAATTCATTTGAGGGCAAAGAAAAAGAGTGCTTAATGCAGACACATGTAATGGAAATGTCAGTTCAATCCATCAGGATTGCTGAAGCTGGCAGCAAAGCTCTGCGACATGAAGTGCACAATCGCTAAAATATTCATGTTTAACAATGGGCCTCTCAAAACGTAAATACCTGCTTCTCCTGCTCTCCCCTCTGCGTGCCTCCAATTTGTACCCACAAGCTCAGAAACCTCATCGTTGGAGACCAAAGCGTGTCGTTCGCCCGTGTCCTGGGTGCTGAGCTCCCCTAAGGACAGCGGGTCCCAGGCTGGGGATGGAGGGACAGAGAGTGGTTCCCTGTGCCCATATCTGGGCAGATCTGGTTGTGATGACAAGGACACTTTCATCGCTGGTCCTGTCCACGAGGTGCCGGAAAGCTTCAGCAGAAAGAAATGCCAGAGCAGCAGCCTAGCATCACGGCACTCATCCCATTACATGACCTGTTTCTTCCACACACTGGGAGAGGAGAAACTTAAATAAATGTACTTGGGCTTTGTATTCTTGAAAGAATAAATATAGAACTTTTATGACCATGGAAAAAGTTATTTGGGGCATATAAAATATTGAAGTATCAGATTTGGACATCTTGATGTTATCATCAGGGCTGGGTGGGAAGCTGTTCACCTGTTCCAAGACAGGGTTGGAAATTTTGTCCTGTGTTGACTTGAGCAGTAAAATAAAAATCTGTTGATATGTCACAAAGCAACTGTTCAAAAACTAGATCAGTTCAAGAAAACAATTTCAAGTGAAGATCTTTCATTTTGGTTTTGACTCCTTAATTTTTCTTTTCCAGTTTTCAATCATTAGTTTACACTTCACTTGGACCAGTTGTAAACCAAAAAAGAATTTTTCTTGTAGGCTATTTTGGATTTGCCATTTAGACAATTTTGAGAGCTGTTTACAACATTTCTGCTGAGAAATCTCTCAAGCTCAACCCTCTCCCATAAACAAATTCAGTTTTGACAAATGAGCATTTTCTGATAGGAAAAGTTATCTCAAAATATTCCCTGCCAGCCTTAATTATCAGAATGAGGCCAACACACAGGATCTTAGCCTGGATCTTTTGGCATATTTTACTTCCCTCATGGCATCATCTTCTCAGCTCTGGAGAAAACAGCTTTTCATTAAAAAAAATACAATCTAATCCTTCTCATTATTGCAGAAGAACCTGAAAGCGTGCATCCTAATGGCTAGAAAAACAAGCAGAATAGAACAATGCAAGATTTTTATTTTATAACTGTTTTTTGCTATTAAGCCAATCTCGTAACTTAGGGGGAGGCAAATATTGTTGCATATGGGAAAGTTGTGATAGACTGAGCAACACCATTTAAAAATTAATTGTATCTCCTTAAGAAATGTGTACATTTGATTTGTGATTGTGTCACCTGGTTTTCCAATGGGAAGTATATAGAGAAAAGAGTCCCAGCAAAACAGTCCCCTCAAACATTACTACCAGTGTTGCACAAAATATGAATAAAGGAAGGACATTTAACCTGCAGAATGATTTTCTGTATATAAAACATACACAGAGCTTATGTTATTGCCATTTTACAAAGTCCCAGGAGAGGCAGTTCAGAGGTTATGTCAAGCTGTGGGGCAGGTGTGCCCTAAAATCTGGCCTTTAAGTCTAATGCACCTGCTTTTATCGACTTTTAGTAGAATCTGTTAATTCTGTGGGGCAGATTAACTTTGAACTACATGGTTACTGTAGTGTGCTCTGAAATGTCTGACTGTAATAAAAGGTTTAAGTTGCTGTTGCCATTCTGCTAGAACAAATCTGCATGTCATTTGTTTAGTTGCAAATAAGTCTCTAGGCAAAACTGTGTAAACAGAGCTGCCCCTCTACAAAAAGAAAGGTTATCGGGACATTAATTAGTAGCTAAACTTGGGATATCTGAGGGAACGAAAAACTGGAAGCAAAATAAAGAGAATAAAACACCAAGGAAAAGAAAAGGAAACAGGTCTGGGAATCACAATCTCCATCTATGCTAATGAATTAAACATGCCCTGCACATAGAGGTCAACAGGCAAAGAAAAGCTTGTGTCCATTATATTAAACACTGGAGAACCTCATGGTGACCAGGATATTGAGAGAGAAGAAACCTATTCACTAATAGCAAGTTTGTGAATATCTTAATTCATAGAAATGTCTTACCTGTCATGTAACATTTGATATCCTGAGAGTTGCTAATGGGATTGTTGTTTTTGAACATATATAGGTTGAAAGGCATTATGTTATTGCTACTCAGATGTTTCCACATATCATGGTCTGGACTTGTCCACCGACCCGCTAGCACGTCATAGTCTCTCCGTCCCATGTGGATAAGCTTTGTGAGGGGGTCATACAGTCCTCCGTGGTAGCCGATGATGATCTGGAAGTTGGGATTGGTGTCCATATAGATCTCTCCATATGCTGTGTATAGTATCTGCTTAATCATTAAGCCAGTCCCACTGAAGACAGCCAAAGGAGTGCCAATGTTATCGCAGGCTATGTAGAATTCATCACCGCTGCTGAGCTCCATTGCAAAGAGGTGGCCTTGGAGGTCATAGTAGAGGGAGGTGATCTCGGAGCTCGAGTGGTTGTATAAATGGGTGACCTTGGTTGGGTTGGTCAGGTCTGCATAGAAGAACTGCAAGTGATGGCCGTGGCTGGTTTTGCTAGAGACTCTCCTTCCAAGGCCATCATAGCGGTATTTCACACTCCACCCGCTAGCTTTATTGTAGGCTTTGATGAGCAGGCCAGCTGAATTGTACTCAAAAATATCATTGCCTCGTTGCTTCAGGAAGCCATCTTCATCCATTTTGTACTGCACATCCCCCAGTCTAGTAATCCTATCCCTGAGGTCATACCTGAGCGGTGTAAGGCGGGCACTGTTCCCCGGACTCAACAAATGGAGGTTTCCATTTAGGTCGTAGCTGTAACGCCAGAGTGGTTTGTCATTGATTGACACTGTCTGCAACTGGCCATCAGCGTCATACTCATATGAGTACCTAGTTGTGTTTGCATAAGGGCCAACCTTCAGCTCTTTCTTAACCACTCTTCCCATGTTGTCATACTGCACAGTCATCCAGTACATTAGCGACCGGAATATCTCATACTGGACCTCCTTCATCCTGCCATAGGCATCAAAATGTTTAGTGTGGGTCATGACAGCAGTGGTGATAATCTGGTTGATATCGTAGTAAATGACTCCAAATTTACCAAATTGCTCAGTTTTGCCTGACACATCATCGTACCGGTAGAGATCAATGGGTAGAGGTGTCTCATTGATGACTGCTTGCATGCTGGTCACCCGAAAGCTGTTGTCATAATTATAGTCAAAGCGTGCATTCACCATGCCTTCCTCAGTGAAGCGGAAAATCTGTCGATCAATGAGGGGTCCTATCTGTCTGTATCTGATCGTACATGTGAACCCTTCATTCTGCAAATTTATTGTCTTCAGCATGCCAGCGGTTTCATCATAGGTGAAACTGATCTTTGTGGTGTCATAGAGCATTTCGGCTAACTTGGACAACTTTCCATACTTGTAGATGACACGTCTCCCTGTCCCCAAGTACAAAGTATGGAGGAGCTGCTCATCCTCTGTGAAATCCTGAATTACCGAGGCATTGCCTTCTGGTGGCCGGTAGATGTTCCTGTAGTAACCAATGGAACGAATGGTTTCTAAAGTCTGACGGGCAACGTTGGGCATGGTCACCGATGACAACCGGTCATTCTTATCAAACTCAAAGATGTACTGTCTCTGGCTGTGAAGGAGCAGCACCATGGACTGGATAGGAAGGAGAAAAGTATAGATTATATTTCCGGTTTTCAGGCAAAATCATACTCAACTCTCACAAAACCTGCAAGATTCTCCAATCCAAAGAGCAGGGCAAGTGAGATAAATCTCTGGAACCACAGGGTTAAATGGTGAGAGGTATGCAGCTACATCGAGTATCCCCAAGTAGGAGTAGGTCAGATGAAGAAGCAGTTAGTGCATTGAGGAAGGTCTAAGTTCAGAATGCTCAGTTGTTCCAATCAATACTCTAGCTAGCTGCCTTTACCCAAATTCCCTGTGCCAATAGCTTTTACAGACTAAATAAATAAAATTGGTAGACCGACTTAAACAATGCTTGAAAAAGTAGTCCCTGACACCATCCTGGTTTTGGCTGGAACAGAGTTAATTTTCTTTCTAGTAGGTGTATAGTGCTGTACTTTTCATTTTAGTATGAGAATAATATTGATAACACACTGATGTTTTATAGTTGTGGCTAGGTAGTTGTAGTGTTCACACTAAGTCAAGGACTTTTCAGCTTCTCATGCCCTGCCAGGTGCACAAGAAGCTGGGAGAGCCCAGCCAGGACAGCTGGCCCAGACTGGCCAAAGGAATATTCCATACCATATAACGTCTTGCTCTGTATGTAACTGGGGAGGCTAGCCAGGATCACTGCTCAGAAACGGACTGAGCATTGGGTTGTTTTCCACAGGTGGTGAGCAATTGCATTTG